CACACACACACGCACACACACACGCACACATCTCCCAGGCCTGGCCTCCTGAGCTCAGGGGCTCTTGTGTCTCACACACACACACACACACACACACACACACAGCCCAGGAGCTCATTCTGCCCATGGCTGGCAGTCGTGCTGGGTTGCTTCTGCGTGAGCTCTCTGTCCGGCTCCATTTCAAGGGACTCATGAGCGGTCTTGGCCCTCTCCCCTAGGGACACCCCCTGCCTGGCCTCATAAACCTTCCCAAGGAGGCAACGTTTCCTGATAAGCAGCCTCTCGCCCCACTTCTCCAAGACCACCCAAGAGACTGGGCCCCTTTCCCAGGCAGTGCCAACAGCCTCCCCGCCACGGGCCTCCCCGCCACGGGCCTCCCCACGGCCTCTTGGCATAAGCAGTGGCTCGGGCTCCCCGGAATTCTCACGCACCTGTTGGCTGGGCCAGGTCCAGCTGGGAAGGACGGCTCCCCCTGCTCCCTGAGGCCTTGGTGGGTGGGCGTGGGGCGGCTCGGGCAGCCGGTCTGCACACGCCTCTGGGGCTTGCGACTTCGGGGATTCCTGCCCTGTCCTCCCTGCCCCGCAGGCAACGCTCCCTTTCTCTCTCGGTCCAGCTGTCTCTCTCTCACATTCTCTCACTCCGTTTCTCATTTTCTACCTCTTTCATTCACCGTCTGGCCCTCTCACCTCTGCCTCTTTTGGTCTCATTCTCTGTCTCTGTCTCCGTCTTTCGTTCCTCCCCTGGGTGTCTCTCCATCTGTCTCATTCTCTTTCTTCATCTCTGTCTCCCTCTCTCTGTGACTCTGGCCCCGGGAGCAGGGGCCTGAGGAGGTTGGATCACTGGACGGGGAGGTGGAGCAGGCTGAGGTGGGGGTAGGAGGCCCAGGCCGGGGACAGTGGGGCAGGAGGAGCCGTGGGGGAGGCGTCGCTCCGTTTCCCAAGGGTCCTGCCTCCTGGGCTTCCTGTCGTGGCTTCTGTTTGGTGGGGGCCCCCTGGCTATCCAGAGGGGCCCACCGTTTGGGGTGGGTGTGAGCCCACACCACTTCCCTGAGGAATCCAGACCGGCCTGGAAGGGAGGCAGGATGAGCCTGGCCTCAGCGGGTGGCTGCCTTTGCCAAGCAGAGCATCCCAGCAGCACCCAGACCCCGTGGCAGCCCAGGCAGCCCCTGCACATGCCGTCCTGCGCGCAGAGTCAGGGGCTGCGCCTGTGGGGGACTCGGCACTTCTCAGGGCAGGATGTCTGCAGGAGCGCCTGGACGTCAGGAGCCTTCACAGCCGGCCTGCTTTCGCGTTTTCTCTATGGTGAGGCTCCTTCCCCAGTGGACAGGACCTGTCTGTGCTGTGCCTCCCCCGTCCCTTGGGAAGCATGCTGAACCCTAGGGCGGGCGGGGCAGGGAAAACCCAGCCTGGCCTTAAACACTTCCTGTCGTCCCTTGGGGCTTCGGCCGGCTGCCCAGCGTGTCCACTCCAGTTACACATCTGCAGCCGGGGATGACGCCGCAGGAGGGGCCCCGGGCGCCGTGGGAACTGCTGCGAGCTGAGCGAGCTACGATTCCACGGGTTCCGGGACCTTCGCAAGCCCCGGCTCTGCCGGGGCCCACCGTGCCCTGCTGGGTCTCCTGGAGTCGAGGTCTGCTGGGAGCTGTGTCCAGCTATCCCTGAAAGGTCTGACCATCTCCTTCCCCACGGCACAGTCACCTGGCAGAGGGCCGTGGGGGTCTCTCGGGAAGGCTGGGAGAGCGCTAAGAACAGCGAGATTTTGGTAGCACAGTGGTCCCCACTCAGGGGGCCTGGCCTCCCTCCCATCCAGGAGGTTCTGGGTCTGCAAACTGGTTCAAATTTGGGACTTGACTGAGGAGCTTGGACTTCGGAATTTTTAATACAATTTTTTTTCCAGACCGGGTCTCGCTCTGTCGCCCAGGCTGAAGTGCAGTGGTGTAATCACAGCTCAGGGCAGCCCTGAACTCCTGGGCTCAAGCAATCCTACTTCCCCAGGCTCCTGCGTAGCGGAGACTACAGGCACACACCATGATGGCCATCTAACTTGTTTCATTTTTATTTATTTGTATTTTTAGTAGAGACAGGGTTTCGCCACATTGGTCAGGCTGGTCTTGAACTCCTGGCCTCAAGTGATTCGCCTGCTTCGGCCTCCCTAAGTGCTGGGATTACAGGCATGAGCCACTGTGCCCAGCCTGCTAATTTTTCTTTCTTTCTTTCTTTTTATAGACATAAGGTCTTGCTCAGGTTAGTCTTGAACTCTAGGCCTCAGACGTCCATACTTGGCTTCCCCAAAGTGCTGGTAGTAGAGGGGTAAGCCCCCACACCTGGCCTGGTTTGGACTGAAGTTAGACTTCCGCTCACCTGACGGTGGGCCAGAGATGGCTTGTCCTGCCTCCTCCCCTCCCCTTACCTGGAGAGCTTCTCAGGGCTGGGAGGCGGTGGGGAGTTGTGGGTACGATGCACCTTCCAGCCAGAGAACCTGCAGCCTCGGCTTCTCCAATGGAAACACAGGGGCCGCTTTGCCAGACTGCAGTCTACTGGATGACAGTGAAAAAGCCCACCCTTCCTGGGACAGGTCTCCCCCTCACACTGTGCCCAAGGTTGTCTGGATGTGGCTTAGGTGGGAGAAGCAGGGGGCAGGAGCAGGCGCTTGCCTCCCTAGCGACATGTGCCGTTGGGTGGGTGAACACTGCCCTCTGGGAGGGGCCCCCAGCGGCTGCAGGCAGACCATGGCGGGGGAGGGCAGCCAGACATGAAAGGGAGTTTGAGCCTGGGAGATTTGTGGGAGGGGGTGTGGGAGATTTGTGGGGGGGGGGCGTGGTTCCCCTGGCGTCTGAGTAGGCTGAGGGGACCATCTCTATCTGCCACCGTCATCCTAGGTGCAGGGAGGTGAGAGCTGGGCCAGTCTGCCAGACCTCAGGTCTATATCTGGCATTATCCTGCATGGGGCACTGGGCCCTACCACCCACGTGCCCTGGGTCCTGATAGGTTCCTGGCTGGGCGGGGGCTTCAAGTGGGGGTTTGGGGGGGCCACTCAGGGCTGGCCTGTCTGTCCCACCACCACCGAAAGCTGCCAGGAGCTGATGGCTTCCCTCCTCTGGGGAAACAGGGCCCTTCCCAAGTCCATGGATGTTGGATGTTCCTTCTCAGCACCCTAGTGCACCAAATGTGGTCCCAGAGTCCAGGGCTGGGACTGAAGACCCCTCGCCCTCAGCCGGCCAGGCAGCTGCCTCCTTCCTTGGGGACCACTACGCTGCTTGGGACAGCGAACCAGGAGAGCTGCTTGGGAGAGAGAGCTCTGTGTGGCCAGAGGCTTGTGATGCACGTTTACAATCTCACGCCTCTTCTTAAGGGCAACCTCCGTGCCTTTAAGCATGTGATCGCTGGGGGTCTCCGTCCGCCTGCTCTCCTCTGCTGCCTCTCACCTCCAGGTGCTGGAGCCGGACCCTGGGGGCTCACTGGTGCCCATGGCCGTGCAGCAGGTGGGCCTCCCTGGGGTTGCTGCAGCCTGGGTGGCTGGGCAAGCTGGCCATGATGGGTTCAGGAAGGGCATGGTCACCGGGGTGGCCCACGTGGCCAGGCTTTCCCAGGGAAGCAGCGCCGAGAACCCAAGGGGTGGTGAGAGTGGCTCAGAACCCTCATGGGGGCCATTTTCTGCGGCTCTTATCTTTTCCTTTGTTTTCTTCTGAGGATCCCTCATAGCCACCTGTCACTGCCACAGTCAGGTCGCTGATGGGCAGGGTTTCCCAGCCTTCCGGGGCATTTGCTCTTCCCCCCGGGTCCTGCGGTCACTGTGCCAGAATCAGCCTCTGCAGGCGCAGAGGTCACTGCCTAGAGAGGCGTTCCTTCCCGGGGGCAGTGCTGGCCCCGCAGCCCAGGTCTCTGAGGCCTCTGCAGCACGTGGCCGGGCAGGCCTGCTGGCCCTCGCTGTTCTTGATCTTGGCAGCCTGGCTTGTGTGGGGGTCACCACCCTGCACTGACCAGGGTCTGCAGGTGGCAGATGGATGACATGCCACCACCAGGCTGGATCCGGAACCGGTTCTTGTGTCTCTTGCTCTGTGGCACAGAGGCCCCATCCAAAGAACGTCGAAGCCTTCTCCTGGACGCCACCCCCAGGTCTGTCTGGAACGTGTGCACCTGTACTGGGTCCTCTGACACCATCCTGCTTCAGAAGCAGCTCTGAATCCGCATCAGCAGCGGGGACGAGTCTCTGGGCGGCGACTGTGCCCTTCTAGCTGCCTGGGCGCGCACCTTCCATCCCAGGAGTCCTCCTTCTCCCCAGTCCGGCCAGGAAACAGGAGAAGGGCGTCGCCCGATGGCTGGTGTGGCAGTGTCTTGGCCGCTAGCTCCCCTCCCACAATTTAAGAAAGGGGAGACCACCAGGACCCCAAAAGGTAGAGCACTCACCTCTCGGCCCCAACAGGCCACGTCGCTTCATCCCCAGGCCCAAAGCGGCCACCGTGCCCGCCAGAGGAGCGCCTCCTCGGCCCCGCTCCCCGAGTGGCTCAGCAGGCGCACGGGGCGCAGGCACCACCGGCGGGCCCGCCTCCTCCTCCTCGCCGGCTTCCCCAGGAGCCGCCGCGCAGCGCCCGGCCCGGGTCCTCTGCATCCCCGACCGTCCCGGCCCGGAGCCCCGCCGGCCGCCTACGCCTCCCCTCCCCTCCCCCTCAGTCCCGCCCCCGGGGCCACCCCAAGCTCCGCCGGCAGCGCCCCCGACGCTCCACCCGCGTCCCGGAGCCCGCCCCGGCCCCCAGTGCCGTCCCGCGGCGGTCGCCCCGAGTCCTCGCCGGCCCCGCCCTCGGTCCCCACCGCCCTCCGCCCTCCCTCCTCGGTCCCCGCGGGCGGGGCGCGCCCGAGACCCGCGCCGGGAGAGGCGGCCGGGGCCCCGCGTGGCCGGGAGGGGAAGGCGGGCGGGCGGGCGCGCGCGGCTCGGGTTTCGGCCCGCCCCCGGCGCCGGCGTGATCCCCTCCCGGGCGCGGGGCGGGGCCGGGCCCAGCTGGCCGCGCTCCGGGCGCTATAAGACGGCGGCGGCCGCGGCGCGCCCTGCGCGGAGCTGGGAGCGCGATGGTCGGCCGCCGCGGCGCGGCAAGATGCTGGATGGGCCCCCGCTGGCGCGCTGGCTGGCCGCGGCCTTCGGGCTGACGCTGCTGCTCGCCGCGCTGCGCCCTTCGGCCGCCTACTTCGGGTAGGTGCCTCCGCGGCCGGCGCGCTCGGGGGGGCGGGGGCGGCTCGGGCCGGGGCGCGGCGGGGCCGCCGGGTTGCCCGGCGCTGTTTGTGTGCCGCGCGCGTCGCTCCGTCCGCGGCGGGGCACGGGAGAGGCGGGCGGACCCGTCGGGCTTGCGCGGGGCCGCGGTCCTCGTTGACCGCGGAATCGTCGTGGTCGCCGCCGCGGTGAGCGGAACTGCCTCCGGTTCGGGGACTGGGATCAGGTCCCGGCTTCTTGCGGCCGCCCAGTCCTTGCCAAACGGCTGGAGCCCATCGCCCACCTAGCAGCTTCCCCCCCTTTCTCTCCTCGAGAAGTTAATTTAACAATAACAAAAATACGTACAAAATCCAGATGTTCCTTGCGCTGAGCCCCAAAGGGAGAAAGAAAAAAAAAAAAAAAAAAAAAAAAACCTCCAAGCCGGAGGAATTTGTTTTTCTTGGGCTTTGCGTCTGACGCTGCGGCGCGGACCGCTGCCCGCGGGAGCGCGTCTGTAGGACCCGGCCTGGAGCGCAGGGCCCGGCCGGGGCGTCCCGCGGTGTCACTGGCCGTGCTCGCGTGTCTGCCGCGGCGCTGTGCCCCGCTGTCGGCGCGTTTCTCCGCCTTTCCTTCCCCCTCCCAGGCCGGGGATGCCCAGCCCAGCGACCTTTATGGGGACCCTCGCTGCGCTTCGGGCACGCCGAGGTGCAGGGTGGCACCGTGCGAGGCAGCGCCCCCGGCCTCCCCGCCACCCTCCCGCCTCTGCCCCGGGCGCCGCCCCTGGGAGCCCCGGCTGGCCTTCGGATCCCAGCCCCCGACCTGGGCGCCCTGGGCCGCCGCCCTCCGCCGGTCACCTGTTCCCGGCCCCCTGGCCTGAGCGCCGGCGCGCGGCGGCCTGGCCGGCAGAGGGCCCCGTTGGTCCAGGAATCTGGCACCCGCCAGGGCGGGGAGAGGCCGCCTGGGCCGAGGAGCCCTGCAGGTGTATCCTGTTCTCAAAGAAAATAAAATATTTTCATGGGAAACTTTCCCTTTGTGTTTTTCTTTCTCCCCCTTTTTTCTCTCCGTTCCTTTCTTCTGGGTCGTCTTCCAGGGTCAGCTCGGTGTCTCGGGGCCCCCACCCGCAACCCTCCCCTGGCTCCGACTGTGGGTACGGCCCTGGGCCCGGGCTGGCACGCCACGGCACGCCATCTGTGCAGCCTCAGCCGGGAGGGCAGGAGGGAGGGCCGCAGGTCCGCGGTGAGTCACGGGGGCCTTGCCAGCCAGCTGTGCTTCCCTGCTCTCCGGCCCAGCGGAGGCTCTGCTCCTCGGGCTCGGGACACACCCTGGGCTTGTCTGGGCTGCAGCGGCTTTGTCCCTGCTGTGATCCGATTCCTGGCGTCCGGGGTGGGGCTGGGTCCTGGCCTCTCCTTCTGCGATCTGTCTCTGGGCTTTGCGCCCTGGAGGAGGTCAAGGGGCACTGCTGCTTTAGGTGTGTGCGTGTGTTTCAGCTCTCTTGCAGAGACAGTGAGTCCAGGCTCCTGCCTGGCACGCAGCAAAGGCTTTCATGCTGTGGTGGCTTCTCTGGCCAGATCCCTGGGCCCCGCTTCTTGGCTCCAAAGGACCCATCAAGGGAGGATTCCTGAGTCCTGTCCTGAGCGCAGTTCTCCATGGAGCCGCCATGTGGGAAGTCCAGAGGGCAAAGCCTTCAGGGACAGCTGGCATTGCAGAGGACAGCTAGGACTCTGTTTGACGGAGAATGAGCGCCTTCCTGAGCCAGGGGCCGGGGAGGCATCCTGGGTCAGGGCAGGCCAGGCTCCCCCTTCTAGTCAGCTCCTGAGGTTGGGCTGGGGAGGGGAGGAGGGCACAAGGGGCTGCAGGCTGGCTTGTGTCTGGAGAAAGGCCGCTCCTGCGGTTCGGGGTCTGGGGCTGTGGCTCCTGGCCCAGCGAAGGCAGGGGCGGCCCAGGGCATTAGAAGCCGGGCAGGGCTGGGGCAGGGCCGGGGTGCCCCCCCCAGCTCCAGTCCAGGGAGCAGGGAGAAGGGGCTGGGATCTAGGCCCTTTTTTTCCCTTCCCCCTCTGGAAAGCTCTGCCTGGCACGGAGGCTCCCGGGCAAGAACGCAGCTCCAGTTACAGCCCAGGAACCCGGAGAGGAGAGGCTGGCCTGGGGGAGGGTCATGTGGGCCCACAGGAGCCCTCCCTGCCCCCTCCGTGAGCTGCAACCCAACCCTGGCCAGTGCCCGCTGCCCTCCTGGAGGCCTCTGGCCACCAGGCTAGACCCCCTGTGGGGAAGAGGCTCCCTTGGCCTGGCCCTGCACCTCCGCCTAGCTAGCAGGTGGAGTTTCCATCTGAGGGCTGTGTCCCCATGCCTCCTTGCTGGCCTGGCCCCAAGCCCTTCTAGACAGAGGGGTAAGCAAGGAGGCCAGCCCGAGGCCATGGGGAGGGCTTGAGGTGCAGACTCAGACCTCCCGAGGCTGCAGCGAGAGGGTGGGCCTGGGGGTGGCCTGAGGACATGGCTTGTCCTCCGTGGGAGGCCCCTCTGGCCTCACCCTTGCTGGGTCGTGGTCTCAGGTGAGATGGTGGATCCGGATTAGGTGCTAGGAGTGCTCCTGGGCTGGGCCCACACGCTCTGGATGTGGTGTTGGGGCTGGGGCTGGGGGCTGTTGGTGCCCAGCGGGGCTTGGACCTCCGCCCCTGGCTGCTGGGCTGCCTGGCTCCCTGGCACGGTGGCCTTTTCCTTAGGGGTCCCGGCTGGCTTGGGACAAGGGCTGTGGCTTCCCACGGAGGCTCTTCTCCAAAGGCCCTGAGGCTGTTTTGTGGTGGTGGCCTCGAAGATGACATCACTCAGGAAACATTTGCAGGCCACTCTGGGGGCCGAGATGGTGGGAGGCTGGGCCCTGCCAGCTTGCCCCCTTCTCTGGGCCTCAGTAGCCTGGAGGCCTGCCTGGAAGAGGCATGAGCAAGGCTGGCACTGAGGGATTGTTGAGGTGCCCCGGCTGTGGCTCCAGAGCCAGCCATCGGGACTGGAAGGTGCTTGCAACTGGTCCAGAGGCCAGGCTGGAGGGAGTGACCACCGCGAATCGGGGCCCTGGAGGAGGCTGTTTGTTATTGGATGTAACTCACGTCCCATGAAATCCGCCCTTTTAAAGTACACATCCCCGTGGTTTTGAGTACCTCGCTCGCCAGGCCTTGCAGCTCTTACCACTATTTAATTCCAGAACATTTTCCTCACCCCAGAAACCTCATAGGCATTAGGCGGTCGCTGCCGACCCTCCCCCAGTCCCTGGCAAGCACTCGCGTGCGTTCTGTCTGCACGGGTCCGCCTGTCCCGGGCGTTTCCTAGAAGTGGAATCCTATGCGGTGTGGCCTCTGCGCCTGGCCCCTCTCACTCGGCATCGCCGCTGTCGCACGCGTCATATCGCCTGCCTTCCTATCACTGAGTGAGACCCGACTGGATGAACCTCTGAGACTTTTTGGCCGGTTCATCAGTTGACGGACATCTGGATCACTTCCGCCGTTTGGCTCTGATGGATACTGTTGCTGGGAGCGTTGGTGTGTGAAGTTTCGTGTGTGTGTGTTTTCAGTTCTTGGGGTACATACCTAGAAGCAGAGCTGCTGAGTCACATGGAACTCTGCCCGTCATGTCTTTGTTTTTGTTTTGTTTTATTGAGACAGGGTCTTGATCTGTCACCTGGGCTGGAGGCTTATTGCAGCCTCCACCTCCCAGGCTCAGCCTCGTCCCACCTCAGCCTCCTAAGTAGCTGGCACCAGAGGCACAAGCCACCATGCCCAGCTCATTTTTTAAGTTTCATTTTTTGTAGAGACAGGGTTTTGCCTTGTTGTCCAGGCTGATTTTGAACTCGTGGGCTCAAGTGATCCTCCCGCCTCGGCCTCACAAAGTGCTGGGGTGACAGGCTTGAGCCCCCCGCGCCACCTGCATTGAGACAGGGTCTTGATCTGTCACCTGGGCTGGAGGCTTATTGCAGCCTCCACCTCCCAGGCTCAGCCTCGTCCCACCTCAGCCTCCTAAGCGTTTGACGTTTCCGCCAGCAGGGCACAAGGCTCGTTTCTCCACTTCGTCACAGACACTGGTTTTCTGTGTTATTTTCTCCTGAGGCCGTCCCAGTGGGTGTGGAGTGGCACCTTGTGTGGCTCTGACTGTGTTAGGGGGCCAGTGGCGCTGAGCACACTTTCCTGGCCTCATGGGCCGTGGGTCTTCTCTGGAGAATGTCCTTGCAGCTTCTTTGCCTGTGTTTAGTGAGTGGGGGGCTGCTTGTCTTTCTCCTGTTATGAGAGCTCTTTCCGTATTCTGGATCTCTCCTTGGACTGAGGAGAGCCTCACCTCTCGGCCTGTGAACCTGTGGGCACTCTTACCCCTGCACGGGGAGCCAGCGACACCCTGACAGCTGCACCAGGTGTGTGAGGGCAGCCAGGACGTCCCTCATTTCCTAGAGCCTGCCGTGTGGCAGTTGTGGGTGCTCAGGGGCTGGCAGAGGAGGCTTCGGAGAGGCTGCTGTCGAGGGTGTGGGGAGGGGCCGTGTTTCCCACATTAGTGCCAACATCAGACCCCACAGGGTCCAAGAGGGAGGCCGCCGGCTGTGGGTGAGACAAGCCTGGCTGGTCCCATGGCTCTGCCTCTCCGAGCACCGGGCCTGGGGCACAGCTGGCTGCCTGGATGAGGGGCACCTGCGGGTCTCTGGTGGTGGCAGAGAAGGAGGGGTGGGCCTGAGCTGTGGAATCAGAGGGCTGTGTGGTGGGCAAGAGAACCCTGGGAAGGGGCTGGCAGGAAGGGGGCATCTGGGGAAGCCCCTGGCTGGGGCCTGGGTTGGGTGCTCTGAACACCTGCAGGCCACGGGCTTTGGAGTAGCTGAGAGCACAGGCTTCAGTTTGGGCAGCTGCTGTCCTGGAGACCCCCCCCCCAGCCACTTAGGACACCCCAGGAAGCATGTGGGGCCTGGCCTCAGGAGGAAAGGCCACACAGAGTGCTCTGGAAGGCCAGGAGGGCGGGGAGGAAACGGGTCAGGTGGC